CTTACAAAAAATTATTGACTTACTTGTAAGCAAAAATCTAGCCTCATATGGAGCCTCCATGCATTAGCCCATAGCAACGCCCTTAGCAACGATTTGTTTGAAGAGTATTTGTTTGAACCCAGACGACATGTTGTGGCAGTTTCCCCGCAGACGCTGAAAACCTTTCAAACGAAAAAAAAAAACAAAAAAAAAACGGTCGTTTTCAGACTTACAGCTCGCTGAGGTGTCGTCCAACGTGGAGCTGTTGCACTGGAGCTTTCTGATCGCCTTGGAAATTGATTAAAAGTATTGCTACGTCTCACGCGTCAATCAGGTTGAAAACACGGTAGGCACCGGGAATAACGTGTCGGAACGCTTAAACGTCTGTCTCCCGTGAAAAAGAACTGAAAAAGAACAGTGATCATAATCAACTCGTCTGCGTCCTAATAGGCGCCCAACTCGGTCAGAAAGTCTCAGCGCACCTCCCGCAGTTGGTAGCTACGACCAACGTGATAAGCGAAGCACTTTCACGTAGCCGTATCAAGGTAACAGAGATCTTCGCTATCTTCAGTTTCAATTGAACGTTTCGAATAACCATGTTCCTTGCACACGACGCAGATGCTATCTCGAGCTCCGAGGCCACTGTACGCGCGGAATGCCCAACCATTCGGCTTCTTGAGACTGTAGTTCCATACCACGGTGTAGATGTTATTTTACAACGCCTACACACATGTAGATGTTACATGCTCACTGCATTCGCGGTACACGGATCTACTTACCCATCTCTGAGGGCTGTAGGTGCGACGACGAAGATAACAGCGGGGAAAGGCGTCATCAAAACTTAGAACGCAAGGAAAAAATCCACGGAGAACCGTTACAACATGGCGCCGGGATGTTTGTAAACATACTCTCGTTACCGTGCTCTGGTTCCCCTGTTTCGAAACAAAAATGCGTTTAGCATATTTAAAATTCTTTTCGCAACGTAGATAGCTTGATCAATTGAGTATATATATTCCCATTTTTTCTTTAAGTTAAATTGAGAGCTTAATGACTTCGCAATGAAGCACACTCTCATACTCTCGCAGATCAGCATAGGTTTGCTTCACCGAAAGACACCGCTGTATTGCAGGGAAAGGTGCTCGCTGGCATTGGCACAGGTGAAAATGTCGTGTCCAAATTCCCCTTCCGACAATACAGTACATATGCACTGTTAAGGTATTGGTAGTGGGGGTGGCTTGTCTGTGGCCAGGAAGGCACACAGGGTCAGTTAAAAATGGTTATTATGGAATAAAAATACTGGAAAGCAGCCTCAGACACAAGGATGAAGTAAAGGCACTAACACAACAAAACAATGGATGACCTTCAAGTGTAGTTTGTTTTATGACAAGGAAGCATTTTAGTCTTATTACATTAACACAAACACACATGCCAACCAGGCAGCTGGCAATCAGAGGGATAGAGCCTTACAATGTGGCAGTGCTAAACTCCAATTTATGAATAAAGAATTTTTTTTTTTTTTTTCACTTTGTTTTGTAAGAGAGGTTGTTTTCCATCATGATTAGTTTCGCTCTTACCAACTATCCCAATCTACCACCCTACTTCAGCTCATTATGGGGGGCTAGTTACACTTGAAAAATCTGCAATGGCAAGAGGAATGCTAGCGAGTTCATTTCATTGCCAGAAAATTGATGGCGTTGTCTCACATGGTAAGAACAATGCACGCTCATGAATGGACTGTGTGAGACCATCAAAGCGCAGGCAGTGACTTTACTTGATATTCTGGGGACTGAACACAACTGCCTCAGGCTACTCTTAGAGAGAACCATAGCGGTGGTCAAGGAACCGGTACAGCAACACAAGCCCAGTTTACCTATGATATGTAGGTCTTCCATTCCCTTTGTAACAATATACAGGACACCAGATTGTGGGTTAGTACTTGAATTTCAGCATCGAAATACACGTGAAAATATATTCCTGGTCTCACAACATTCAAGGGAATAATGTATCTCGTTACATTTTCAACTGGGCTTGTCATGTCATCGTCCCAACTACCGAAATAGTTATCTTCACCAAATGCTTCATCAGCTTGCACAAGCAGCTGACACCAGTTGAGAACAAGCTAAAAGATCATGAGGAGATACTTTGTAAAATGGCAGGACGGCGGCTTCTGTGATACTACAAAGCCAGTTTCCTTTAGACAATATAACATAAGATTATCATATCAACCAAGTATGCCTCCACGGTGTAGCCCTCGAGCTCGGTTGGGGATGCCAAGCTTCTTTGCTTTGCACTGCGCGCTCGCACAAAGCTCCACCGCTTCACCCGACATGCTTGCATCAAGCTTCACACTTTACACGACAGCACTATGGCAAAGCATCTTAATTTTTGCGGGAGGTGGGGGGGGGGGGGGGGGGGCAACATTTTTCATACCTATTTTCAGACTTCGAAAATATTCAAAATTACCAAATAGTCCTATTCGATTCAAAGTATGAATCGATTACGGCATTATTCGCTTCAATATTTAAAAGTTATGAATATTTGCACAACCGTTGTCTTCAGCATTATCTACAATTTACAAGGAAGCTGCTATCATGTCTACCTTTCACGGGATCTTCCGAATGTTTTGTTCAAATCGTGATTATAAACTTTTGGACTTCGACCCAACGGAAACTATCCATCTGCACACTCCGCAAGGACAATTCACTGAGGCGGTCATTGGCCATCATTGATCGAAGTCTGTGTTATGTCAATCTGGGCCTACAGAGAGATTGTTCACCCCTGCAGTTTGTAAACATAAAAAAATAAAAATCTAGAATGGGTACATGAACACCTAGAAATGAGCCTTGAAGCTTTTCTCAGACTACAGTTTTGGAATGTTTCTTACAGAAGCCTTCCTTTTCGGAAAATAAAAGGAACTGTTCTAGTTCATCGGGGAAATCGTCCGACAGACCAGATTTATCCATTGCCTGGAATCACCACTGTTTCAACGAAAGTGTGCCGCGGTCGGCAATAAAAAGTAAACTGTAGGCAGACTTTGCTGTAAGCAGTGAAACGAGTTTTAAGTGAATGCAGAAGGTTGTCAATCATGCCAATATTGGTATCACAGTGCAAGTCCAGTGAGGCATCTTGAGGGTGAAGGTTGCCATTTGTGCCGATCGGTTTGCTTTCTTATGATTGTTGCTTTGTACGTAGTTCCCAATGTTTCCTTCGCTGCCTGTTTCATTTCATTGAATCTTTTCCTTAGACCGGATACATAATCACTCAATGATTTCGTCAGGTTTACAGCTTCATTCAATGTGAGCGTCTGATTATGTAGTGTTCTGATGGCATTGAAGCATTGCAACACTCTATCCCTGAATTAAGCTACGACTGTTGCAGTCATACCCATAGTCTTCAACCATAACCCATGTCTCTGCTAGTTCTTCTTAACCTTCAGACCCTCAAGGCGACCCTAATTTCTTGAGCGAACAGAGCTTCATAGCATCCGCTCGGGCTGACCACCACGAGTCTTGGAGTCGCATGGGCATGAATACCGTATCACTCTGTTTCAAATCAAGCCTGCAGAATATTCCGGCGAAGGGTAGACGCAGAAAAAAAATTTATGTACGCTGTACGCAACGGTTAACACAGACCGCTGTGCGTGTTCTGTGTCGAGTGCTCTCGTGCCAACGCCAGCTGCCATTGATTCAGCAATGGCCAGCGGTTGTGATCAACCTGGCCGTGTTCCGAAATTTACCCAATCTCACTCTAGAGTAACAGTTTCATACCTCGGTGTTCGAAAACCTTTTTGCGTCTGGTGTTGCTCAGCTTGAAATGTCCCGTGACATGACCCGCAGGAGTAGCTGGGATCCAGTCGAGTAAGGTTTGGAACACGCCCCCTGTCAGGGGAGGATACCCTCACAGAGGGCCCTATTCATTTGAGCAGTTAAATATGGGTAATCTGGCCCTGCACCTGGGCGACAAGAGCAACATGGTGAAATGCTGGCCTGTTACATGGAGGCGCCAATTGTATTGCCGGATAATGCATTATCCGGCACCTTGACTCAACCTTTACAAACAAGTGTTCTCGAATTTTCTGGTGACAAGGAATCCTAGCAACCTTCAAAAGGTGCTATGGAACCCACCTTTCCCTTGCGCCCCTTCCACACTCCTTGATACTGCAGCATTCATGCTGCACCAGGCACGTCATGCTTTACCGCTTTGCACCATCGTGCTCGCAAAAGTTTCAGTGCTTTGCTCCGCCACGCATGCATCACGCTTCACCGCTACACACCGGTGCGTTGCGGCAGTGTATAGCAGTGACGAAATACTTTGAAAATATTTGAAGTTGCCGAATACTCCTCACCAATTCAAAGTGCGAGTAGAATACGGCGTCATTCGCTTCAATATTCTGAATTTTAGAATATTTGTACAACCCTAAAATATGTCGTAAAGTAACGCTCAGGCACCTCTACAAATCCGAAGATCATTGCAAAAAAGTGGGAGATGGGCAATTGATATGCTATCAATGTTATCTATATTTCCACTGTCCATATTTTTTTAGATGTTACAACATTTAGGGGTGGGCGCTTAGTGTACAATCGGCGGATGCTGGGTATTTCATGGTATACATAGCATTTGAGTAGAAATATGCAGTTCTTCACTTTCCCATAAAAAAATGAAATATATATATTTGGGTGCTTGCGGAATTCAAAAGACCAGCCTATGAAACCTGGTTTGGGAACCCTGGGTGTATAATGTTCACCTGTCTGTAAAAAGCTTCTCAAAGCAATTTTTAAGAAAATAAAACTGAACCATCTAGAATGGCCCAAGCTGAAAAAGGCTTCCAAATATTCCATTTGTAGCATTCATATTTAGGCACTGAACTTTTCGCTTGATGCTTTGATTGATTTTGTTTCTTTTTATGGGAAAAAGTGCACATCAACAATGGAAATCAGCGACATGGTTTGCAAGCCACCCAACCAATGGTGTGTGAGCCCCCCTATGGCTGAAAAAGACGAAGAGAACACAGACACAGCGCCCACTTACGACTGAAAATTTTACTTCTGCATGGTACAGTAAGTAAACATAAAAAGAAGCAGACAGATACCATTTCAAAATGACCAACCAACTAGCCCAACTACACAATTTGTTGCAGTTCTTCTATGGCCCTGAATTCGTTCCTTACCACGAGAAAAGTGATGATTTTTCAAGCATCTCTGCAGATCCCTTCATTTTTAAAGCTATTTGGCACATACCATAAAATCCCGAGGTATGTACTTCCCAGTCAGCAACATTCACTTGTATCCCGCCACAGCTAACTAGCCGCATTTGTGTCGAGGCCATCACTGATCCCAACACTACTATTACTTGAAGTAGTCTATCTTTCGGTGTTTAAAAAGTAAAGCAAATCAAGCCAAAAATAGGGGTGGACTACCTTTTGAGATCTTAGAGTAGAGTATTATGACATCAAAATGCAGGCACTGAGATGCTCTTCAGAAATAAACAAACTTTGAAATAACGGATTAGAAAGGTTCTTGTAGGAAAGCTCTTCATTCTAGCTCATAATGGCTGGGATCGCACATAGGGGAAAAGAGACACTAACTGCCGAATTCACAAACCTTTATTCCAATTGAGGCACCCCCCCACTTCCTCAAGGAAGGCACGAGGGACGGCACTGGCCAATCGCGAGGACGGCTAAGCAGCCTAGGCCGCCTATTTGTCGTCGCGACTGGCCCCCCCCCAGCACCGGCCCTCACACCTTCCTTGAGGAAGTGGAGGGGCGCCTCAATTGAAATGAGGTTTGTGAATTCGGCGGTAACTTAGCTAGTGCTAGGGTCTGGCAAATTGGAGACATACACCTCCCCACTGGCCACAGGCTCCACATCTTAAACACCTGTGGACTTCGAAAGGTTAGAATGGGGCACAGCACCCACCAAGGATAGAATTACCATAAAGTTTTGCGAGTGCCTTGCCGAGCGCAAATGCAAGACGCTGGATGCCGCGGACACGGCACACGTGGTACTGGTCGGTAGCCAGCTTGTCGAGGTTGACCATGTTGCCTCGGTTGAGAAGAGGTACTGAAACATCAGCGAATGAATTAATTCATAGCATAAAACAAAGTTGGGTTGTGACCACTCCTTGGAACCACACAGGACACACGTGTCTAACTTGGAAGCAGCCAATGAACATTATAGGTTTAGGTAGGGGTCAGTATTTTAGATCTAATTGTGCAGCTATATTTTTTTGTGTGTGGGTGTGTACGTGCAGGGAGTGGGGTTGTTAACTCATTGCAAATGTTTTATGGGGCTGGTTGCTTATTATTGGGGTCCACTTTCGTTTAGTCAGGGGAGGATCTAACTGTAAACACAGACATCAAGGTGCAGTACTCGGGCTCGCCTTCCGAGTTAAATTTCTGTTCTCCTTGGGGACCGGTCCTCGTGTGCCAAGTTCACTGTGATTTTAAGAAGTGATTTGAATAGTTTCTTATCAAAAATGTTTCAGAACTTCCCAATGCATAGAGGCAGTTTCAAACTCTGTCAGAGTTTAAAACTGCCTTCTATACATGTTACTTTCACAAATGGTATACTCTTTTTTTAATCTATCTTGTTGTATTCCTGACATAATTACCTATTTTTTGGATTTTCGAACTTTCAAGGAACTTACTGACCTAAACACATGCTTTTTTGACCTGTCTACAACTGTATCCATCGCTGAGTGCTTATAAAAGAACAGGTGTAATAGAATACATTTCACTGAAAAAGAAAAAAGATAAATTTTCTGGCATATATTAACTGATAAAAACCAAATATTGGATTTCGAAATAAAAACCAATAAATGTATGCCGAATTAAAAAAAAAAATAATAAAAACCGAAAACGCTGATCTTGCTCAGTGTTTTCGGAGTTAACTTTTTTTGCTCGAATTCGGGGGTATTTCTTTTTCGATGTTTAATTTTTTCCAAAGATTCTGTGTTTTTGTGTAAATTGGTTGAAGTCATAACCAATTTACACAAAAAACACTGAATCTGCACAAAAAATTACCACCCCCCCCCCCAAAAAAAAAAAAAAAAGTACCCTCAAATTCGAGAAAAAAAATACTCAGAAAACACAGAACCCAAGTTATCGGTAGGTTGTGACTTTCCAGTTCTAACCTAAAAATACCGAGAAACATCAGCCGATGACGAAAATGCAAAATCGGTTATAACAGAAAAACACAGTTTTTGGGGACGATTTGGCGCTAGGCGATTACTATTTTGGTTGAAACCCCTAATTCTAGGCATTTGCTGAGCCTGCTTTGCTACCAAGAATTAAGCAAACTGGGGTCTCCAATCAGTGGGATCGCTGACCTTGGAGCACAAGGGCCCGAGAGGTGGGTTAGACAGTTACTACCAACAGTCACAACGTCCTTGTTGGTTCATGTCAGAGGACGGCAGATAAAAAAGCAACTTGTCCCAAACCAATTTTTTTTTTCACCGATCATCGCTGTTTTTAGCGTCTACATCATACAACAAGTCGAAAGCAGGGTTGTGCAGTATCGCAATACAAATGTATTGCAATAGTATTTCAGAAAAACATTTAGTGTCTGTAGTTCTGTATTGCAACACTTTCTTTTTCACCACTATCTGTACTTCTGTATCGAAATGCATTTGGGATGTTTCTCAGTACCGCAATACAATCAAGATGGGATGTATTTCGTTACATTTCTTGAGAAATAACCCCCACCTCTGGATAAAGAAGATGACAACTTTTTTTGTTTCGCTAGAGAAGGCCAGAGGGCGTTATGAGGGGTATGCTGTGCATTTGCTATCATGCGAACCTAGGTTTGTTCGGAACTATTTGTGTCGGATCTTAGCAACCCCCTTCTTTATTCTGCAAAACTGAAGAATGTTTTCCACCATGCTTCTGCCACCCCCCCCCCCCCCCAAGAAAAAAAAAAAATCTTCGACTTGTTTTTTTTTAAGGGGACGCTGGGGCATTGTTACTATGCTGACCAACGTTCATTCCAATTCCCAGAAATATTTGTCTATGCGACCTCTTCTCTATTCTGCGAAGATAAGAAATGCGCTGTGAGCGGCGCATTTCTTAGTGAAGAAATGTGGTTCCCAGCTGTGAAAGTATTGTTTCCTTGATTTAATATGAACCAACTGTTGAGCAGCTATTTTTTTTTTTTTTGCCAACATGACGTTGCGTTTGAATGGGCAATGGCTCACAGGTGGGCTATTTGAGAAGCTCCTGCTCCTCAAGTGTAACCGAGTTTGGCACTTGCATGTCTTTCTTTTGTATCGCTTCAGTGTAAAACAACAGACAAAGCAAGAATGATTTTCATTGCACCTCCTGACTAATTTGTTGCCTATGATATGACAGTTGGCACCTCAAGCAAATTGGAAAAATGTAGTATTTCAGTATCTGTATTTCTGCCATCTCTAAGAGGTATTCCTGCATTTGTATTTCCAAATACATTTTGCTCCTTGTTAAAATGTATTTCCGATGCATATCACAATACATTTTTACAGATATATATAAGTATCACTATTTTAGCTATTTTGATGTATCCCAGCATTTGTATTCCCAAGTACATTAAGTACTTTGGCCCAACTCTGGTCAAAAGACACCAATGTTTGAAAAATAAATAAACAATGAAAAACATCCGCCGATTTTTCTCATAAATAAACACCGGAGGATATACGGCCTAGTTATAGGTTATTTATATTTACTAAGTAAAATTCATTTTGGGTGTGTTTGTGGTATAAAAATACAATCAAAACCCAATGTAGCTCCTTAATGTTTTCAATTAATCAATAAACTGGAAACTAAAAATAAAGCCTTTTTTTTGCTTTAGATGAGTGGAGACTGTTGTGAAGACGCCACCGAGGCTTTGTTACCTTGCAGACCAGGATCTGATCAGAACATTCTGTCTTTGTACATGAGGACTCTCAGACATAATTAATTGATTACGCAAAATCTTAACGGCTTATGATAAGTGCAGCTTGCCACGAGTTATCTGCCCTTTTGTGGTTTATGACGAGTGCACCTCATCACATACTGTTTTGTTCCTTTTGCAAGGTTTGCAACAAGGTCAGTGAATAAAAACAGTGTGAATTATCTTTATGATAGAATAATAAATATAAGAAACTGTTTCATATAAGGTCTGCTTAAAAAATGTAAAGCATTATAAGGTTAATCAACAGGAGATGCTATTTTCTATTTTAAAAGAATAACAAATGTTTTCCATGAAATTTCATCTAGATTCTGAACATCTAAGGCACTGCAAGCACAAGCTTTACAGGTGTGCTCTGCACTTTCGTGTCATATCGATGGAGGGGAGCAGAGTTTATGCTTTCAAATACTATCAATAGATAAGAGAACAGCGATTCTTTCCATCGTGACGTCACAAGATCATTACTGAAAAGGCAACCTCACCATATCAGAGCATGGAGACACCTCAAGATAGTTTAGGAGGACCAAAAACTGATGTGGAGATGAAGTTAACATTGACAACAGTAAAAGAAGCAATGCATAAAGCATGGACAAAGATTAGAAGACAAACAAACCACAGAACACCATTTTTATCGGCAACTGTCGAGAGCGTATTTACAGGCGCTAACATAATGCTCCACGGCCCTCCGCCCAAATCGACAGGTGCTAACTGATTGGACATCATTTGAAAAGCTCATCCACAAATGCAAGTGAGTGTAGCAATTGTTCTTTTGGTCTGTGTTGCTTGCATAATATATATGTAAAAAGTAATATATATGGCTGGAGTGATCTTCCTTGGTATCATGAATACCTGGTTGTCAATAACACAGAATATGACATTTAGAATATCTCAAAGTATGCATAATGTGATACCAGTAGCAGAGCTAGCTGTAGAATTCTCTGGAAAGAGTAACACCTGCACAAGGCAAGCTTGAAGGTTCTGTCAAACTACATTAGTGATGGGTGTTACCTTGTGGAATCGAAAGGTGCAGCTTTGTTTTTGCAAAGCATCAGCAACCTGCGTCAGGACGCAGATGGCCGAAAGCAATGTTTGGTGCTTCTGTTGGGAGATGGAGCAATGTGCTGCAATTAGAAAAACCCGTGATGGCGAGTCCGACGAGGCTGAAGATAATCTTGCTGTAACACAGCTTTCTTCTAATATTGCCACACACGTCGCTGAGCGAGCGCGTACGTGGCCAAATGGTTACTGCACTTGATTGTAGCGCAGAAGATTTGGGTTTGATTCCAGGCAGCGGAATGTTCTTTTATTTATTCTTTCTACTTGGCGTTCTCGCAAATTCGAGAAATTTCTTGTCTGATCAAGCTACGAATGTTCTACGCACCGAAATGTCTAGGCCGAATGTTCCAGAGACCCACGTGACTACAAAAGGGACTCCGCATGGCGAGCGAAGTCAGTCTCTTCCTAGCGCTCAATCCTGCTGCTTCGACGTCTGCGACACTAGCCTTTCTCTATTTTGTTTTGGGCACAAGTTTTCCCCGTTAAACGTTTAGTTTTGTCAGTTATTCGCCGCCTCACCATTTGTTATTCGTGACAATATAGCCATGCACGCAGACATGAAAGCCACAACAGAAAAACGCAATTGGGGTCGAGACACCCTGTCATAGACCCGTTGCTCCACAGTGCGGTCTACTTTCCGTGATGTGCTGTGCCATCTCTCAACATGAGAACGAAACACAACCCTCGACCGATAACTGAAAATCTTGCATATATTCTTCCGATTTTTCGCACAAACAAATCAGTGCCTTTAACTTTCACATGGTAACATCCACCACTGCAACACACCTGTGACAAAATATGAAGCTCGCTGCACCCAGACTATTATTTTTTGCTTCATTTTACAGCAAACCCCGCTACTGTGGCAACCTACATTTTGGGATCTGTTTTGTTTCATCGACAGACATCTCATCGACAACTTTTAATCAAACGACATATTGACATACATTTCGTCGACACTGACATGCCATCGACAATCGTTCCGTTAACCGTACGGTGTTCTGATGTTTCGTTGTGCATGTCACTGGGGCACGCATTAACTTACCCGGCCCGCCCGTCTACGTCATTTCGCAGTGACCGTCTGTGGCGGCTCACTACAGAAATATTAACATACCTGGCCCACCCACTGATCTCCACTAGAGGGGGCTGGATGGTGCATTGAGCAAACAAGTATGAAGCCACCAGAGGTGAGCGGCTTGTCCCGGAAGTGAGCGCTTGGCAGGCTTTGTAACCCTTCCGAGTGCTGGTTCGAAAAGCGTCGAGGGCGCTGGATTTTCGCTTGTTCCCTCAAGAGAGCCTGCTTGTTGCACATTAAGAGCGCATGCAGACCCGAGAAGCATCATGGGAAGCCATTCAATGTAAACATTTTGAGATTCTAGTTGATAAAGTTGTGAATATGTCTCAAGTTCAAATGCCGCATTCTCGGAATTTAATCCAGAACGGGAGTATTAAAACCCAATCAAAGACACAAAAAAGCATGGTCCAAAATATCGACTGAATGCACTAGGAAGACCAGCGCACGCCCGACTTTCGGGACAAGAATCAAACTTCCGGTGGCTTCACTTGCGCCAGGCTCGGACAGCAGCTAAGCGCCATCCAGCCCCCTATAGTAGAGATCAGTGGGCCCACCCACTCAAGCTGCTTAGCGGCAACATTCTGCGGGGAGTCACTACAGAAAAAAAAGCTTATCTGAGCTGTCGATGTAACAAACTGTCGATGAAACGAACTGTCAATGAAACGTCGTTCAATGAACTGACTGCCCCCCCATATTTCAGTATCAGGATTTCTCCTTCAAATAAAACGTATTTAAAGATACCTTGTCACCTATTTTTTTGGTCACACATATTCGAGTTGTTTTGCAATGCTCTTTTTATAAATGAATTTTAGTATCAGTACTTTAGCTGTCACTGCTGTGTATTCCAGTATTCGTCATTTCAAATGCTTTTTAGGTTATATCTGCCCAACCTTGTCACTCAATGAACAGCATTCCAGAGGCATCATGAATGCCTGGCTACCAATAACATGGAAGATAACATCTCGTCACAAGGGGCATGTCGGGAGGCACTCACTTGATCGAATGACGTTTTAGCGAACGCCCACGTTTCATCGAACGACACTTTAGCGAATACTCGGACGCCGCGAAGCGGCGTTTTCGGGTGGGCCAAGAGAGTTAATATTTTTGTAATGAGTTGCCGCAGACTGTCGCCGCGAAGCGGCGTAAAGCGCAGCGCGACGGATGGGTTAACGCGCGCCCCCGTTATTCGCTAAAACGACCATTCGCTCAAATGTCGCCATTCGCTAAAATGTCATTCGCTCTTGTGATATGGACCCGTAACGCCGAGGGCAACACCTTCCGTACTGGTAGGCGGTTCAGGGACAGCCTCTCATCCTCCCTGGCATGCCCGAAAGGCCCACCTCGTGGCACCAGCTTGAATACGAGCACGTGGCTCGCCAGGCCTTTCAGGGTGGACACAAGCTCCTGAAAAGTGGAAAGGACATTGACTTATGCATAGGACTAAGCAAAACTACCGTAAAATCCCGTAAGGATGCCCACCCAAAATGAAGAGATAAATTGGGAAAAACATGGGGTGGGCTATCCTTAAGAATACGACAGCAAAATTTATTAAAAAGAAACGCGATAAGCCACTGGGCTATCCGCTACAAACCACATAAAACGGGAACTGATACCGCGGATTGCGGACACGGCACATTTGCATTTATGATGCGATAAACACACAAGACTTTGCTAAGACATCCAGTGTCATGGTAAAAGGGGTTGAGGACGCAGCAGATTCGCTTTGCCGTGTTTTCACGATTTTAACGCGCAGGCTGATTCAGCTTTCAGATATTGGCCGGTTCTACTGCGCAGGTAAAATAATGAAGATTGAACACATACCTTATAGAACGGGTTTTATGAAACGAACGCCAACAAAGTTGTCACAGTGCGACGATGTTTCTTCGCTGTCCACAGAGGTGATCGCTTGCGCATGTACGTGCGAGTGCGCGTCGTCGGCTTTGGGAGGGTCGTCTTCCGAGCACCACTGCGAGCTCGTCGGGTCGCTGGGATTGCGAGGCCACGTAGTGCTGCTCAGTCCGTTATCTTTTCCCGCCAGCGGGACTTTGGTTTAAATAAGCCTCCAAGTGGATTTGCCATGACTCCCGTTGAAACAGTTCAAACCTGTGGTTCAAACAGTTCAAACAAGCCGCCCCGGCAACCTGAGAACCGTTGAAAACAGCGAGGCCAGTGTGGCGCCAGTGGGCAAGTCATTCGTGAAGCTATCATGATATAGGATGGTCGAGAAATAAACCAGTTAGCTGGGTTTGAGACGTCCCTTTTTGTGTCCGATCTTTCTACTAAAATGTTTCCAATTTCTTCGACCACAGTCTCAGGTGTTATATGACATAATTATCATCATCATCACCACTACGCGAACGGATTCCCTACGAGCGGTTTTCCCTACGCTGGCGTTGTCCCCAGATCTAGGCACGGGCAGATCTCTGGATAGGCGCTCGCCCGGGGCGGGTGCCACTTCCGAACTTCCGGTTTATCACTCTAAGCCCCTCTACCTCGTTGACGCCTGCACTGAAATGGCTTGGCGAAGAAACTAAATAAACGACGACGTGAGCCATCGACATCAGTGACAGCAACATCATATCGGAACTCCAGCAGTCCTTGTCGGAGGTCACACCTAGAGCACTATATAGCTCCTTCGGAGCAGAGAAGCGCAATCTAGAACGCCGCCTCTCGGCGACTAGCGGCGAACGCCCAGAGGTTCCAACTGCGGTCAGAAATGCATGGAGAACGTGAGAAAATTGTTGTTTCTCCACTATATTAGGAATGTACGGAACCGCAATCATTTTTGACATAATAATGGAACACTTCAGAATAATTTGCGCTAAGTTTTGTGCCCCGCAAGGACCTGACTTTTTTAAAAAAATTACTTGAGCGGCATCATGCAGCAGACGACATGGCGACGTCACACCATTCACGTGACCCGCTCCGGCCAACCCGAAAAGCCCATCTCCGCTGCGAGCAAAAATCGTCTGCTTCAAACGCCACTGCCTTGGAAATTGCCTTCTCAAAATTTGCACACGCATCCGATATTGTTAAAACTTTGATAAAGTGTTTAGTGCTTTACTAACTTCACGACAGACTAGTTTTGAAAAGTGTGAACTCGCCGTTCATTTTTTAATCAGCCGTGTTGTGTCGATCTCCATGTATTCTCCCATAGGGCGGGCCGCCTCCTGGAACCCTGAGTACCACGTGACTCGCGCCGAGCCGCTCTGTCGGCCATGTTGTCGAAAAAACACGGGGTTCAAAGGATTGCGTTACTCTGCTCCGTAGGAGCTATATAGTGCACTAGTCACACCAACTCATGTTTACAAACAAACCGGAGCGCCCCTAGCGGACGGCACTGGCGCCGCGCATGCGCGATGGGGGTGCGGGCAAGAAGCTCGCCGTCGCCCATAAACAAACCATTGAAATGCGATGTTGTCGGCGTCGGTGTGAGTCCCCGCGCTCTTTTTCGCGTTGGAATTGTTGATTCTACGTCTTCCTAACGATGTCTGACTACTTGAGCGGCGTCAGCGAAATTAACGAGGCTTGTTACACCGCAAAACTTCGCGTGAATAATCTGACATGCGGCGATTCATTCCGCGTGGACGCCGCAGAATGTACCCTAAAGCCTGATTCACATGATGAGATTTCGCTCACAATTTTCAGTAGCGACGTCGCTCGGACTGCAAAAGCGTGATTCGTAGCTGAGATGGTCGACGTCGATACTGAAAATCGCAAGCAGAAGCTAACCAAGTGAATCAGGCATAACATGTCGGTGTTGGCCTCTGGTAACAATGATCGACATCTCCTTGTATCTACTGTTTACGTCCAGCCTGCTTACCAACCTTCAAACTTAAGTCTTTTGAGGCCTGCACTTACTTCTTATCGCAAGTACCGGCCCCACGTTTGGTCTACGGGCCGGTGTCCTCTAAATGAGCAGACGACAAGCAGAAACGTTTGAAAGAGCTGACGACAGTTCGAGCGATCAGGCGACCGTTTGAACTTGAAGACGCACTGAACTTTGTCCGCAGGTGGTCCGTACAACTTGACGGTTTTCCGGCATTCATTTTGGAACAAAACAAATAAATCTGATGGCCAGAAGTATCCGTGAATTCAACCCAAAATGCTCCCGCCCAAGCAATCGTAGTCCGACGGCGTCTGGTTTTCCCTTTTCACGGCACATATCCACGTTCTCGGACGAACCGAGCGCTCGAAATCTGACCTTCAAATCTTTCTCGACACTTTTGGTACAGCCCCAGTCGCAGCAATTTGACGAGAAGGCAGGTTTTTGTCTGGTTCCTTTCAAAACAATGCAGGAATACACGTCTCACATGGGCACTTCCGCCCACAGCCTCGGACCGGAAGTGCGTCCGACGCGCCACCACCGCGGCGTGACGTAACAGAGATGAGTTTGTGAATACGGGGCAGCGACATCCGTGACGTCACTGCCGGAAACGTAAAAACAAGCAAAACTAACGACGAAAATAATCCCTGGAGAAGCCGGGGAGGAGGAAGCAGACGGCACGC